GATACAACTCTATTTGCAAAGGAAATGCATATGCAATGGGAACTGCTAAGGAACCCGCACACGCAAAATATCTGTTAGAGATAATGAGTTCGGGGGCCAGCAGGTAGTGTGCTGGTTAAGGTGCCGGACTCCCAAGTGGCTGACTGCAGTTCGAGTCCCAGGTCCAGTGGTACACCAGGTACCAGAATCCCAGGAGGATGAAGGAGAAAGGATTGCAGTGTGGCCTCCTCTGGGTGGTGATTTCTCACTTTCCCTGTCCTATCTCTCTCTCCAATGAGCGAGCACACATGCCCTATGGCAAAAACCAGAAAGAAAAAGAAAGAAAGGACATAGAAAGAAGAAAGAAAAACTGAGTTCAGGGGCCAGCAAGTGGTGTGGAGGTTAAGACGCTGGACCTCACACGGCTGACAGCACGGTTCGAGTCCCAGACCTAGCAGCTTCAAAACCATGCAGGGTGCATGTGTGCATTCCCCAAATCCCGAGAGGAGACGGGAGAAGGGATTGTGGTGTGGCCATCCCCCAAGGGAGTGGTTTCTCACTTTCTCTGGCAAGCACGGGTACCGTAAAGCAAAATCTTAAAAAAAAAAAAATGAGGCAAGTTTGAAAAAAACAGGTGAACTTCTATATATACTAGTTATGAACAACCTGAAAGTGAAATTAAGAAAGCAATTCCATTTACAGCAACATCAAAACTAGGTTTTCAGGCCCACCACCTGCAGTGGTCCAGGGGTAGGGCACCGCCACATGACACTGGTACCACAGGGGACACTCGGGTTTGGATTCCAGGCTGACCTAAGCACCCTGGCACAAGTACCCACGATCTTGACTGGACAGATGGCGGAGGGGGCACACAGTTGGCGAGACCCTTCTATAGGTGCCTGTCTGTCTCCATCAATAAATAAATATATAACATACTGAAAACTACAAAGATAATTTTTAAAAATTGAACATTTAGGGGCCAGCAGTTGGCATAACGGTTATGTCACTGGACTCCCATGTAGTCAACCGCGGTTCGAGTCCTGTACCCAGTTGCTTAAACTCACGCCGGGCACACATGCGTGCATGCCCAAGATCCCAAGAGGAGAAGGGACTGTGGCATGGGGGTGATTTCTCACTTTCTCTTTGTCTCTCTCTCTGTTTCTGGCGGGTGCACACGCCCTATAGCATAAAACCTCTCCAAAAAGTTGAAGGTTTGAATAAATGGAAAGTCATTACATGTTCATAAGCTGGAGGACTTAAGGTGGCAGTGCTCCTCAGCTGGACTGGCAGACTCAGGGCGACCCCTCTCAAACCCCACACGCTTCTGGAGAAACATCAGCTGGTGCTGAAACTCATGGAAGTGTAAGGGACCAAGACTCACCAAAACAACGTCAGAGAGTGGACGGGACTCGTGCTACCAGGTTCATAAGACGTACGGCAAAGCTTCAGTGACCAAGGCGGGGGTCCTGGCACGTGGGCAGGTACGTAAACCAAAGGGACTGAACTGAGAGGCCAGGGCTTTTCTGAGAGTGCCCAGTTGGACTTGGATTCTTTCAGTGGGGAAATTTCTTCAGCAGATGCTGGGACTTGACATACACAGGCAGAATGAAGCCGGACTCTATCTCACATACAAAAATAACTCAAGATCCTCCTAGCCCTAAATGTAAGTGACAAGAGTGTAAGAAGACTCTCAGCAGAAAACAGAAAGAAACAGGCCATCAAATCTTTGTGTCCTGGGACCAGCAGTTAGTGTAATGGCTATGTCGCTGGACTCCCACGTGGTCGACCGCAGTTCGAGTCCCGGACCCGGTGGCTTAAACTCAAGCTGGGCACATGTGCGTGCCTGCCCAAGATCCCGAGAGAATGGAGAAGGGATTGTAGCGTGGCGTGGCCATCTGGAGGGTGATTTCTCGCTTTCTGTCTCTGTTTCTCTGTCTGGTGAGCACATGCGCCCTATAGCAAAAACCTCTCAAAAAAAAAAAAAAAATTTTGTGTCCTTGGTTCGGGCAGTGGTTTCTTAGCCGTCACACCGAAGCACGAGCAATAACGGTGGTGACGAGTCAGCCGAACCACATGAAACTTGAAAATATGTGCTGCAGGTACCGCCGCTGAGAAAGTGAGACTGCCCGAAGAAAGGGGGAACATTTGCAAATCGTATTTCTGTTAAGGGACTTGTATTCAGAACATACAAAAGACTTAGAAGTTAGCAATAAATAGGCAACTCAAGGGCCAGCCAGGGCATGGTGGTAAAGGCAGCCAACTGTGTGGTTCAAGTCCCAAACCCAGCAGCTGGAAAAACCCAGCAGGTACGTGTGCATGCATGTCCAAAATCCCACGGGACAGAGAGAAGGATTCACAGCATGACCATACCCCACTGGGGCACTTCCCCACCCCACACCCAGTATACACCCCTGCCAATTTAAAGGAAGGAAGTGGGACACGGCCAAAACCCCCTGGTTAGTGATTTCTCACTTTCCATCTCTGTCTCTGGTGCACGCATGTGCCCTGTAGCAAAAATCTCTCTCAAAAACAAAATAACGGCACGGAGGCCAGCAGGTGGCTCCCACATGGCCTGCTGCAGTTTTGAGTCCTGGACCTGGTGGCTTGACTTCCCCACTCGCTCTCTGTGTCTCTGGTGAGCACGTGTGCCCTATAACAAATTTTAAAATAATAATGTTTTTAATATTGTTAAAAAGGAGAAAGTTGACGCCAATTATTTTTTTTTAATAGCAGAACCAGAATGAAACAGCAGCAGCACTGCAGTGCCGACGGCCCCTGTGTGGCTGACCCGGTTCGGGCACTCCTTG